CGAAAGGTGGAATGATGATCCATTCTTCGTATCCGGCTGAAGCTGCCTGCTCTTGATCCAGCTTCCAATGACTTCCTTTGCCTTTCCACTGACTTTAACTGGATTTAGTGTAGGCCTGACATTGTTAGATGCCATTTTTAGGAAAGTAATGTATTGGGGGATGGGGGTTTTCTTTGTTGTTTTGGAACATAATTCAAGCATAACCAAAAACTCATTTCGGCGAAGACCAGCTGTTGAAATGTGAGGGGGTCCAGCCCTTTCTGTTTTGCCTTTCTGCTACATTCTCTAGTAACGAATAGTCTTCATACCAAATCATCACGTATTATAAGTGCTTTCCATTGAAAAGCCATAGTTGTTTGTATTCCCACACCAGACCTGCAGGGAGGAGCAAGCCCTGGAGACACAAGGACAGGCATAGATGCGTGACCATGTTGCTCACAGCACTGTTCTGATACAATGGCCATTAACTTAAAAGGAAGGCTTAGGATGCTTTTATTTTTACTAGTACAAAACGTAGCTGCAATTTTTAGTTCTGTGTCCTGAAATCTCATATTTTATATTTTTTTTTTATAACATCACCTGCTGAGAAAGGAACCTCTTCATCCTTGGCATTACTTTAAATGTGTCTGTTGTGCCTGGTCCTATTTTTTTGCTCTCTGTTCTGAACATTTTAATGGTATCACAGTCAAAATCACCTCAAGTAATAGTTTATCCACAACTCAGAGCTTTTGTGGAATGCTTTTAATTTCCTTCTACTTTCATATTTCTTTCTGTCTCATTCTGTGTGTTTTCTAACATTTTGTCTGTTGTTTGTATTACATCTTCACTGACTGACTTATGCAATGGTCAGCTCTTTTTTTATCTGTCCAGTTAATGTGAAGAAGTTAGTAGTGTTTACAGGTGACTATGTGAGCCTACCTGTGCTGCCAGTCTTGAGTTATAGCTACACATCGCTGCTTATCTTCAAAGCCAACATAACAGCAAGATTGGTGAAGAATTTAATGCTGACATCTTAAAAATTTTTTAAATATGTTAGGGTGGTTAGGATTGAAATTCCCAGTGACTTTTAGTGGAAATTTAGATTCCCTGAGTACTTAGGTGCTTTAAAAATGATTCTTCATATTCTTCAAATCAAGTAATGTTAAGTACAAAAGAAATTAATAGTGATTTGCTAAACAGTTTGAAAATCACAATAATTCAGTATTAGTTCAGCCTGCCTAGTACAACTAAAACAAGAGGAGAAATATGCATTGCTAATTATCAACCACATATCTTCAGGTATGAGACAGTCTGTGCTGCATGGTTCACATGGTTTGTTAATCCTTCCTTCAGGCTCCTCGCATCGTGTAGCAGTGAGACCACAGCCCATGTGTAGGCACACTGTCCTGGAATAGCTCTGAGTCACGCTGCCGGAGAAGAAAGCCGGCTTTGTGGTATGCACCATGGCAGCGCAGGCACCCCCACCGCCTCTTGTGCCTCTGATGAGGATACAGCTTCATAAACTCCTCTCTCTGAGCCAGCTTAGCTCAATGGACCAGGACAAAGTGGGACAGACGCCGGTCTTCCCCTGCTTTCCTGCTTGCTACAGCTGTCACCATTTCAGTCAGAGAGGCATAAATATTTATCCCCATTGCGTTTACCTACACTGCAGTCCATCTTTTTTATATTGACAGCAGTAATACTAGCAGTACGCATTACTGTAGGTGATATGTAATTTATAATTGATTACTGCTACAAGAATCTATCTGCTTTTATATGACACACAATAAAAGACATAAGGTTGGGTGTAGCAAATCTGGTGACACCAGCAGAGCATGGCAGTGCTGCCATTTATTTGAGTGTAGGCCTACTGTTTTCCAAATCGAGAATTTTGTTCTTCACCATTAAAATGTTTTCTTTCTGGAATCTGAGTGTGACAAAAGTGGAAGGAAGCATTCAGCTTCATATTGCGTCAGCTGTCAAGTTAAAAGGTATCTATTTACTTTGGGAAGCTAGCATGAGTCATTCCGAAAAGTTTATAGAAATTGTTTTCATCATAATATGGAACAGGCTCCTATTACGCAGTATACATGACTCGTGCTCTAAGAGTTTCTCAGAAAACAAATAACAAAGTGGTTTAACAGATTATTTTTATCAGTGCTTCATAATCAATACTTTTCTCTGTAATTGTTCGAGATAACTGTAACCAGTTCTGTCTCATCTATCATTATCCCTTCTGTTTTGTTGCCATTATCCCTCCGCACAGTTATGGATACTGAATATCATTTGGGTTAGTTGGGAGTCCTGCAATAGGCAGCATAGTAGTAGCAGTGACTGTTCACTTATGACTTCTGTTTTGCAGCCAAAGTGCTGAGGTAGGGAGTGGCAACAGTATATTAAGTTTTCCTTTTCTGAAGTAAAGGGAATAGAAGAGTGAAGCCAGAATCTTTTAGGAAAGATGGTTAAGCGCCAGGAGACTCTGGGGCTGAAGTACTGGAGGGCTGAAAGAATTGGCAATCCCATAGGCAATTTCCATGCTTCTGCTAAAAATAAATGCCATAATAAACTTGTGCCTCATAATATATCCAAGGTATATAGCAAAAGCCTGCTAATGCACATCCACCCTGCTGAGGCTATTGCCATATATTAAACACTCCACAGAGACCAAAGGAATTTTAGGAGGAACTCAGTATCTCTGGGAGCTGGGCCGGAGCGAGCTGGCCAGGGATAGCTGGAATTTCTCTGCTAAAATACATCCATTGGGAAAAAAACAAGACAAGCCAACAGGTAGTCACATTTTTATCTTCTTCTCCAGCAACATGTTACCAGTAAAACAGCAGATATGGCAAGTGTACTGGTGTTCAACAACAAAAAAAAAAACCTATGAAAAGACCCACCAACCAGGGACCATGTATATTTATTTACTTATTTCTTTCCATCTGCAACAGTGAAAGGTGTGGAGTATTTAGTTCGCATCCGTGATTTCTTTATGAGGTTGGGCTTTGGTTTTGTTGTTTTATTTTTCTCCTAGACTGAGAAGTTGTTTTCTAATGCTAGCTCTTTTAATGCCATTTCACTAATGAGAGTACTTCAGAATTATTGGTTGGAGTTATTCAGTTTTCAGAATGATGTCTGACAGAAAGAGGGTTAAATCTGCCATCTAAAAGCAATATCTGTACACTAAGCTGTAGTTTTATACTGTACCAGACTAGGCATCTCTGGAAAGTGCAACTCTGAGCTGTCATCATGGGGATGTCTTTCTGGAAGATTTTTGGAAATGAAGCCCTGGACTATCTAGGAAGTGGTGCCTGAAAACACTACTAGCTCTCTCCCATACAGCGCCCCTGCAGATTTTTTTCTCCTACTCTTCTTCAAATAGACCACAAGACCCTTTAACTCACTGCTGCTTTCTTGTGCTGGGGGCCGCCGGTGAAAGCAGCTCAGTTCGGTGTCTGCCCTGCTCACTGTTTGTGTGCTGGCAGTGCTGCCATTTCCCAGGCTGCCAGGAACTGCTCACACATCACGAAGGTCTGTCTTTATTCGGGCTGCTGGGTATCCAAGGGCAAGGCTAAGATGAAGACAGCCCAAAGCAAGCTTGCTTTTTCCTTTTTTCCACATTTTGGCTCCCATGGAGATCCAATGTTCCATGCTTCAGTGGCGTCACCTCCTACTAGCCAGAGCCAAGCAATGCTCTTGGGTACCGACATATTCTCTTCTCCAACATGTGTTCTCTGTGTCCCAGGAGGAAATTTTTGAGCCTTCCACTCTGGGCTTCTTTCCTGTATCCTGCTAGAACTGCTTTTCTGTTCATTATTTCCCTTCCAGAAAAGCTATGTTTTTGGACAAGGGTGGGGACTGTTTTATTTCTCTCACAGGAAAGAGACTTGGGCACTTAGAACTACTTCTCATGCCCAAGAAAGTAGCAGTGGGCTACAGTACAAAACAGCTATTACTGCTCAAACTTGAATTACTCATCTGAGCAACTAGACTTTCCTAATTAGGACTAAAAGTTTCAGAAGTGTGTCAGGGTGTTTTTCCCTCCATCAAAATTTAGACATTTAAATGTTAGGCATCTATCCTTCATTAATATTCTAGTCTTCCTCTATAGCCAGTGGAGAGATAGACCCTCTGGAGGATAACTTGTCCCATCCTGACAAGTCTTGTAAAACGGGATGAATCAGCTCTTAAGTTCCTAAGCCATCAGCAACCAGATTTTTAAATTTAATTAAGGCCCGTTTAGAACTCACTACTTTATGCTTTCATCTTTTAATGTCTTTTAAAACAATCTGAATCTTCTGAAAACATTTCTTAGCTCTTTTGATTGTATGCTTCTTTAATGGTAACTAGAGGATGAAATTTCCCAACCATACTTTCTTGTTGTGGCCCTATATATACAAAAATAATAATTTAGAACTAATGAGCAACATTGTCTTGGTGACACTATTCCATACTCAGAAAACCAGAGTTTGTCAGATATTTTTATTTCCACACATTTGGCCTCTGCTGTCCTGACTCAAACCCTTGGTTAATTTTCCTAGCCCTTTTGAGTTTTTGGCTCTTCTGGTTTATAATGCTACCAACAACATCAATTTAGAAGAGGAAGAAATCCGACAGAGGCTCATAAATAATAATGGGACCATGGAAGGAGGATATAAGCTTCAGACTGTGGATGTTGATCCAGTGGGTAAGTAGTTTTTGGCTTTGTTACACAACAGATTTTGTTTGCTTGTCCATAAATAAGCATCTTCTGTGTTAAAATAACCACACAGTACGACTGTTTCAGGTTTTAAACTGTCCCTTTAAGCCTCATTGTTCCACTAATCTGAGACACCTGTGCTCAAGATATCTCTTTTAACACACACACAGTTGTCCAGATTGCTTTAGTCAGTGTTTTGCTGTCTGGTTCAAAAAGGCTGGGACAGTTCCTGACAGCTCCTCTGGTAGTTTGAGGATAAAGAAGTACGATTTACAGCCAGAGCTATAATGAGACATTTTGGACCTCCAAGGCCCCTTATGCCTACTCCTCAACCCTGTTGTTTGTGCTTCCACCAGCTGTAGCCCTTAATCAATCTCTTTTTAGCTCTCATCTTTTCCCATTCAACTTCTTCCAGTCAGAGATTGTGCTTCCCTTGGGAGGGAGGAGGTTGGGGCTGGTGGAGTGCAAGCGGATGCAGCATGCACATTCAATCCTTTCCCTTGAGCAGCAGCAGTATATGTTGTCCCCTGTTGTGCACCCCTCCATTGCCACTACTCTACAGATAACAATAAAGAATTTCATTTGAAGACAGCTTTGTGCTGTAGACTGGTTGATGAGCTGAGGGCAAGAAATGGAAGACGATTAGATGAAGAAATTTACCATTAACACTGATATATTTTTATTTTTGCAGAAAAATGTTTAGCTGAAGAAAACCCTCCAAACTATTTTTGGCCAGATACCAGACCAACTGTGACCAATTTCACATTATGCCATGGGAGCTCAGTTCAGACTGCATCAAGAACCTGGTATGTATTCAAATATCTGAGAAGCTGAGAGCTTCAAATGCAACTTTCTGGTTATATAGTTAAACTACATCCTTCATAATGGTTGCCATTGGCTGGTATTGTATTTCAGGAAGATTATTTCTATACTGTGAGAGATTATGTGTGTGCAGTGAGCTTCATTGGTAAGAAAAAAAAGAGCTCATCTACCACTTCTGTAGGGTATATTAAGGCCCACAATACATGTTGAAAGTGACTATAAAAATAGCACCTTCTTAAAGAATGAAACTCCTTTTTTCAAGTCATGATGTTTATGTTACTGAAACCAAAGTTTCACATTTGCTACCATTCTGCTACTACTATCTGACTTGACTAACAAATTCTCAACAAAATTCTATGAAGATGAGATGTGTGTTTAGTTTAATGCAGAACCTCTCATCTCATTAAGGCAAAGTAAAAGAAATCCTGTGAAACTAACATTTTGCCAGTAGTTAGTCATAATTGAAGGTGGGGACAATCTTGTGCTTAAAGATTTGAACTTGTGTTTTTAAGGTTTAGGATAAATTTTCCCTAATGTAGTCTTTCTTTGTGAACATTTACAAAATACTTAGACATTGTATCTCTATTCCCCCTTTGTGAAATGGAAATATTATTACTTCCTTTGATACATTATCAAAACAATATGGCTTTGATCTCGTTTGAGTGCCTTGGACATGGCAATGATGATGCAATATTAATTAATTTCTTCAGTATTTAGGATGATCACTATTAAATGCAATATAGTAGTCTTATCCACCCACATTGCGTCTGGAACGTGTTCTGAGAAGACTAGATCTTTTACTTTTTGAAAACAATATGGCAACATGGATATGAATCAGCTTTGAGGTTCTGCGCCAAACAGGAAAGAAACCAGCATTATATTTAAATAACTCACTTCCTCAGCCTCTTAGTCTTGTACAAGAACTGCTAGATTCTGATTGACCAAATTTTGTTGTAGAATCAGTAGTGCAGAAGTCAAATTGTTTTTATGTCAGAGCCTCAGAATCATTAAAAATTAAGGCTTCTGGCCTTTGCTGCCCCAGTATTGCTTATCTTTATTGTTCATTTGTGGTCTACACAATACCATTGATTGTCCGTGTACAGCACTTCTCATAAAAAAAATTACCGTGTTTTGCCCTGTGCTATGCTTTCCTTGCTTCTGCCTCCACGAGCTTTTGCCAGTATGGAGCACAGGTGGGATATGTTCTGAGAGAAGAGGAAGCTCTCCTAATGGTCTCTTCTAGTCCTGTGCATCCCACAGTAGAAGGTTACCTGCTAGTGTGCTGTTACAATAAAGGTGATCAACTGGGGAATAATGTTATTCTGCGCAGTGAAAGGATAACTTTTTTCCCATTCTCCATCCTGCCTTTGCCATGCTCTGATAACATGATTGTCTTTAAAGAAAAACTGAGGAAAAAGTGTGTTTAATTTTGGAGCCATATCAGGGTATTTTGCTATGGTACGGCTTTTTAAAAAAACATTTAAAAAAAAAAAAAAAAAAAAAGATTTTATATCTGCCCTTCACCTTGGACCTGGATCTGATGGTGACCTACCCTAGTTTTCATGGGTGGCATAAGTTTATATCTCCACATAGCTCCATACATGTTCTTTTGGGAGGTATTACAGCTTGCTGTTGACTTGATCAAAGCTGTTTATATCAGTGGGAAATTATAGAAACAGCATCTTATTAGGCCATAATAGGGGCATAATAGGTTGTGTCAACATTTGGGTCTGTCCTGAAATACAAGGTCAGAATTTCCACTGATGCAGTTTATCAGATCAGTATAGGAATCAGCTGGGAATCTGTCCAAAAGAGCTAGGGTTTCTCTCAGCACTGTCACTTAATTGATCACATATTTCCGCTGTCAGGCATACATATTTCATTTCACTAGGGGCTATGTTGCTAGGAAAATAATGAATTGAGAAGAGTGGACCACTGTGACACCTACAAAAGAATTATGAAACATTTACATAATTTTGCTATTGTATTTCATGTGGATTTTGTCATTTTTCCTCTTTAGCTATTTGGGTCTGAAGAATTATACATCATACTGGGGCCAGCCAGATCTTAGAAATTGCTCAGGTGGGTATATTGGTATTGGTCTTTGGCTAAAGGAATGGCTTTGTAGACTTTGGTTACTGCTTACTATAAGGAAGTTACATTAAGGAAGAATATCCTCCTCCCTTATGCTAAGTTGTTTAAAATCTTTCTAAAAAAATCAGTGCAAAGCAAATATTTGAACTCTGAGGAAGTACACCAAGTTGAATTCAGCCCACCCATGAAAAGCTCTGGATACCAATTAATGAAATAAATCAAATTCTTCAGGTAATTTAAGCAAGAATAGAGGCAGGTGGTAGCTTGCCTCAATTTGATGTTCAGGTTCAGACAAATTTTAAAATGTTTCCAATGCCTGCAGATGCCAGTGGAAAGACTCCCACTCTCTTCACTGGGCTTACGATCAGACATTTTCAGATTTATTCTCAGTTTGCAAAATACCCCTTGATGTCATTCTGGCCTTAACGGAGTAATAAAATAAATAGACAACAATTTTATGGCCCCTTTTATTAGTGCCAGAGCTAGTGAAGAGAATGATACTCTCATACTCAGCACCTACAGTAAGCTCCTGTTCTGAATTGCTTCTTGGAGAAGCCTCTTTTTCTTTCTCCACTGATAAAGGGGTCATGGGGAGCCTGGCTACCTAACTTAGTTGATTGAGTACATGCAGTCAGGCTATATGAAAACATCGTCTCATGTAAAATGAACATTCTACAGTAAATGTAGCAAAAGCTGTATTATAAAACACAACATAAAAACAACACAGCCAGTTGCAGACTAAAGAAGGCTGATCTTTCAAAATCTTATTTGCAAATGCCAATATATCTCAAATATTCTGATACTGTAAAATGTTAGTGTTTACATTAGTTTTCTATCCAGGTAACATCAAACATACAGTTTAACATGTGATTTACACTAATGTTTTGCCATTGGACACAGTATCAAACTTTCCTTACCAGGAAGATTCTTTTCATGAAATTTGTTTGTGTGTTGTGCTTGCCAACCCTCTGAGTAAGAATACAATCTTCTGAAGGAACTGAAACATTTACAATGGGGTCAGACTTTCTCCCCAAATCTTAAAAGAGTGAATATTTTGTCAGTAATAGTGACTTTGGATGCATTTGTTTCACTTCAAGAGTGAAACTGGTTTTCCCAGTGAAAAAAAAAGATAGCATAAGGAGAAAAAAGAGAGAAAATATGCTTTTTCTTTCTTACTTCCCCTTTTTTCTTTCAATCAGCCCTTTCAATAATAGTTCTGATTTACAAATTCAAATCAAATTAAGGAAAAGAAAGACACAGGCAATGAGGACAGTGCATAATAATCAGCAGGTTCTATATACTTTTTCATATAATTATAAATTTGATAAAATGATAAAATCCAATGTTCATTAGAAGTACCACAGAACATGCTCTAGCTTTCAACAATGAAGATAAAAATTCGTATTTCTCAATTACTTCAGGACTGATATGCATTATTTTCTCTATTTACTTCATTTTACATGTATACTCACAGAAAATGCAGCTGATATAGCAAATCAGCTTCTGAATCTCACTGGTGAAGGGCAGCAGCTAACCTCAGACAAAGTAAATGATGTTGTGCAGAAGCTCAAAAAAATTGTGAACGATGAAGAAATTGATGAATCTCTGGGTTCTACCGTGGTGACAATTTTTTCCAATATTCTAACCAGTTCAGACAGTGTGTTGGCAGCATCATCTTCAGAGTAAGTATTTCTGCATTTGAGACAAGCTTTTGAGAGCAACCTGCAAGGTTGGAAGGATTCATCCTTCCATATATAGACAAACAATTACAGTAAAAAAATCAAACTTTTCTGATTTCCATCAAAAAGAATTTTCCAAATTAGACATACAAATATTTCTTCTTATACTAAAATTAATGTGCATGACAAAGATAAAGTATTTGGATGGAAGTCTCCTGATACATGACACAGCATAGATCTCAGTATTGTTGGAAAATCATTTCAGGAGTAGTGATATGTAGTCAGATAGTTTCCGTTAATCAAACACTTTTGTTTTCAACAGAGATGCATAAATTTACAGCCTGACAGTCTCCTTGTGAATACTGTCATCTATGAATACTATCTATCTGTGAATTCTATCATCTATGGGTGACAGAAACATAGTCAATAATAAGAGGATCATCTTAAACGTGGAGAGCATATAGAGCATAGTATTTTTTTTTTTTCTGTATTCAGTTTTTAGAATAATTTTTTCTGGTTTTAGAGCTCTGAAAACTCTTGATGCCCTGGCTTTAAAGATCCAGTTCACTGGACCATCCATGAGTATTTCAACACGAAACCTCGCACTTGGAGTGTCTTCTATAAACTCAACTTCATTCAAAGGTGGTTCTTTCAGCGTCAGTCCACAGAATAATGCATCTGATTTCCAGGTATGGAACAAGCAGTTGTATTTGAACGTGAAATGTGCCTGTTGTTCCAAGAGTGTTTACTGTGGTTCCTATAAAACCACTTACAACTCCCAATTCTCCCCCTACTTTCTATTTCCTTTTTCCTGCAATCATCCAAACAGATTAATGTAGTATTTCCTTGAGTGACAGGAAACCCAGATAAACTCACATGTTCCATATGGACAAAAAGGAATTTGCTTACAAACTTTATCCTTTTTAGTTTTGGGGGTTTTTTTACTAGTCAAAAGGGAAAATAACAGTCTGCTGTACTACCCATTATACACTAGCTAACAACTCCATTGATGCATTTCAGCTTTACAATAGGTATCTACATGTAGATTTTTGCAGATACAATAGCTCTTCAACCTTCCAGTATAGTTTAAACATCTACTGCTAACAGAGACCTAAGGCTGAACCAGCTGTCCACATGTAGGTTGATAAGCTTGTGCCATTTGGGATGTCCAAGGCAGTTCAAGACATTCATGTGGGGCTTGGCCAGCCTAGACATGAAAAACAAAAGAAACATAGATCACTCACAATACAGAATGGTCTGCAGTGCTACAATATCTAGACAGGCTGCTGTAGTTAAGATATTTGTCATCACCTCAAAAACATTTGTTCTTCTTTTTTCACAAATAGAAAAGCTCAGATGTGTAAAAGCTATGAAATAGCATTTGAGAGGCACATGAGCACCTATTGGGATATTGCAAAGGTTCTATTGAAATCAGTAGCAATGAGGTGCCTAGACTTTTTAAATTTCACTATGTGCCTGTCTGCATCTTATGGCACCTAAATGCTTTTAAAAATATAGTGCAACGTATTTTTTTCTCAGTTATTTAAGAGGTCTATGACAGAGGTAATGTAACCTCAGTTTTCTCGGAGTCAAATGCAGTGAACCTTACTTGGAGAAAACACAGAAAAGATTAAACAGGAAAAAAAAAAAAGAACCCTACTGTTGTTTGGGCCAGAGGAACCAAATCTGAATCCAGACAAAACATGGCATTATGATAACAGTAAAAGACTAATCACTAGAGTATAAGCAACTTATGGAACCAGATTAATCCCACTGCATATTGGCAAGACAACAATGATAATAAATTCCTAATAATTTTATAAAGTACTGTCTACTGTAAAAATCAAAGCCAGTAAGTAAGACAGTGCTATAAAAAGTAGTAGTAATATAATAGGCTGCAGGCCCTCTACATAGAGTGTATATAGACCTTGGATCAAAACTCAGATGCTGGTTTAAATAGATACAAATGGATTAAATGTAGTTGAGTTTTCACATATTTATATTCATAGACTTTTTGGCTGAAATTTCTTTGAATCAATTTTACTAGAAATTTTTGATCATTGTGAATCTACTTTTGTTTCGCTCCTATTAATGAAGCTCAATAGCTGATTGTTCTTTGATTGTTATCAAAGGAACATTTCTCCTCCAGATTTCATCCTGTATTTATGGAAAGAGGAAAGGAAAAATTCTGAAGTCAGGTTTGGGATGTTCGCACGTATAATAAGAATTACCATCTGTGGCTTGAGGACATCCAGGAATTTTCTTGCCTTGGAATCATTTATTACAGCACTGTCTAAATAATCATAAAATCCAAACTCCATCAAATTATTTATAATGTTCCTATTGGAACATGAGTTTTTTCTCAGACTTTTACATTTCCAACAGCTGACTGAGAATTCTTAGCATCCTTCCTACCAGAAAAGTCTGCAGCAGCTGTGGTCACCATTTATATTTTCCATGCCTATCAGGAAAGATACTTGCTATCCCTGCTGGAGAGAGATTCCCTTGTGAAAGCCCAGGTTTTTCACCAGTGATGTGATGATCTATCCCAGGCTCATCAGGGAGCATTAAACTCTTCAAGCTGTATGTCAGAATGTTTCCAGATTTTATTTCATTTTTTTTTCTTAAAGTAGATATCAGGGAAATGTATCCATGGCAATTTGGAAAGATTCTATTTCAGTCCCCTGTGTCTTTACATTTCTTGCCAAACCTTTGACTAAGTTAGCTTTTGATGATTCATATTATTAAATTGTTCCTGTAATATATCCATATTTCTTTATAGAAGCCTCTTCCACTCTATTTGCAGACAACACCTAATGGGACATCTTTATCACACACACATTTTCTGTTTAATGTGGCAGAATTATCCTTTGAAAACCTTTTATTCAACTGCATTTAGCCCCATCAGAAGATATGTATGAACCACTTGCTAATTTTCAAGGGTGCCTGTTATTCATAGTAAATCAGTGAAAGTTTAGAAGTTAAATAAATCTACCAGGAACCTATGGTTTTTAACTTTCTTTATCTAATGGTGCATTTAGGATCATAAAACTGATCATGAGAGGCATCAACACATGACCAAGTTGCCTCTGGAGAAGTCAGGAGTGTGAATTTCCTTATCTCACAGTAAAATTCTTGAACGCTTTTACTACAGAGCCACCATGAGATAGCTTGCGCCCCTTCCTTTGATGGGTAGTGTGGCACAACTTGAGTATGCTGTGGTGGGAGGGCATGCAGTCTAGAATTGCTGCCTGGTAACTAATAAAATACAAATCTGCATCCTCGTTTATTTCCATCTCACTTGTTACATCCTTGTGCCATAGAGGGCTTTCAGCTGTCTGACACATTGCCAGCATAGATTAAGCTTATACTGACGGAAGAAAGTGTCTTTTTTTGTGCTACACAGCATGATAAATATAGAGGTGACACTAATCATTATTTTTAAATTTCCCTTCTGTAACAGAGAAACTAGAAAAGCTCATAAGAGAATTAATTCAGATGTACAGATCAAGCCAAATAACTCAAGAAAGAAGGATTCAGAGCACAGTTTTCAGTTCTCAACATTGTATGAGGAAAAGTATCTTGAAGGTTACTGAAAATTATTATGACTGCCATTATTGCCATCTCATTATTTCCAAATCATCATTATAACAGTGGAGGAGTTTGTTTGTTTGTTTGTTTGTTTTGTCTAATACCTTCCTGTAGCAGAAGGTTGATCTCATGCTGGAAGGGTGGGGAAGCCTCCTAACCCAGTTTGTTTGTTTATTTATTGCATCAACTTTTACATAGGTACAGGTCATATTAGTGTTGATTGGTTCTAGTCCCATGTTTAGATATCTTTGTGTAAGGGTGTGAGCCCACTTGTGGACAATGGATGGTTTGGTTTTTGTTTGAACATGTTCTTCTGTTTATTTAACAGATAGATTTTGACAAGGATCAGACAAATGCCTACGCTTCTGTTGTTCTGCCACCAAGTTTACTGAAGAATCTAAGTCAAGATGAGTTTGAAGTTATATCCAGGGCTCAATTTACTTTCTTCAATAAAAATGGTCTTTTTCAGGTAAACTTCAATGTGTTTTAAGTCATTTCTGTTAGGGTGAGTCAAAGGCAGCTGCTAAAAGTTTCCTGTAGTATAATCATTTCACAGAATCTCATGAGTTATAGGAATGAGAAAGTGATAGCAGATGTAGGCACTAGAGACAGTGTTATGTTCAGAGTGACAAAATAGCCGAAGTGCCCAAGTTGAATTCAAGTCAGTGATTTCACTGCAAATTCCTGTCACATCTGAGATAACCTTTTTGTCAGGGTAATCTATGGAAAACTGGATCCCAGCTGCTTATAGTCAGAGTAAAGTAGCGAGGCCTCTTAAAGGGCATAACTTCTGTTAAAATGCATTAATATGACGTTCAGTGGGGCCAGATTCTTTTCTATCAGAAGGGAATTTGGCCTATAACACTGCCAAGTACTCTTTCTCTTTTCTTTAAAAGAGTTGGTTGACACTCATATCCAGCTGACTACTTATATTCAAGAACATTTGATTCTATGCATACTATTCTTCTTTTCATATATGTGTTCCCATAAGCACACCATATTATAATATGGAATAAGGATAACAACACTTGTACCTAAAAACTAAAGGGACTCAGGTAGATTTGATTTTTTTCTCCTTTGGGTTCCATCACACAGTAATTATAAATAGTTCCTGCATGGTAGATGCAAAAAGAAAAATTAGGAAGAGCTCGTAGCTTGGAAAAAACAACCAAAAACATACCTATTTTGAAAAAAAAAAAAGAGTTAATTAAGAAGGAAACCTTGTTTCACAGTGAACTGTAGACTGAGCCTCAGAAGACTTGAGTTTGTTTTCCCATTAGTATTTCAAGTGACCTTTGGCTCTTCTGCATCCGTAGAACTCCGTAGTATTGTATTGTCCCTATATTATCGTTTTTATTGGCAGCATATCCAGATTTTTCAGATAATCTAGGCAAGAAAATACCCATGACCCTCAGTTGCCTTCTGAAATACACCCCGAAGTATCTTTAACTATTTAAAATAGTGTTCATTTTAAGCCTGCTTTTGAGAAAAACAGGATGGGTATATTTAATAAAGAAACCATAAGAATACAGATGTAGGCTTGTCATAATGGCATAAAAATCATATAAAGTCAGGATGTTCTAGCACCTTTAATGGTGCTAGAATGTGTTTCTAAGGGATACTTCATAGTCATTGAAAAGCAAAAACCAGGAAAATTTGCGTCTAAATTTACAACTAAAATTCCTTCTATTTTTTGTGTGTTTTTCAAACTATTAACAGGTGACATGTTCAACACAATTAATTAAAAATGTGTAAACCTCATGTTTTAGTAAGTCTAAAAATAAAGTAAGTCTAAAATAAATAAATAAATAAAGGCTAAAAAGAAAGCCTAAAAATAAATTGATCTACATGCCATCTCAAACCCAATAACTTTATCCATTAGTATAGAAGTATTTCATAAATATATTTATTCCAATTGCAATTAAAAAAATCCCAATACTATTAGCTGTATTTCTTATAAGCGTTCAACATAACAGTGAAACATCATACTTTATAGCACTGGAGGGGTTTTTTTTTATTGTAACTGAGAGAATACTAGTAAGTTTTATCTTGTCATCCATTAAAATCTGATGGTTACATTACTTAGAAGACTATATCAAAAATTGATGTAAGCTATTCAGGGTGGGATTCATTTCACCAAAGGCAGGTGTGTTCAATGTACATACCTATTCCTGAACTGTTGTCCATAAGTTGCTTTCAAAGCCAGTCAATGGAAAAGAATGGACACTGTTGAGGTGTGACACATCTCATCCTAGTGCAAGTGTAGGCATCAGTTCCCCAAACAAAGGAGCACAGTGCAATCTGAGATACCACAAGGTATCTTCGTACCCCAAGTACAAAGGTACTACTGTCTGACAGATGTGATAATGAACGTGTAAGAGGTGTGAGATCTGCAGTAGCAGTGGGAGACTTGGCAGGACACCTTAAAGCCTCTAAAATGGACACTTATTTTTAGGCAACCTGTATTCAACCTAGATGTATAGAATAGGTAAGATGGATTATGCCCTGGATGTACTAGTTTGCTTTCACTGACTGTGTTAAGAAACCCTAGAATGGCTACTTCAGTTCTAGACATCTTCTTTTTACATGTCTTAGGTTAGGTTGGGAGGATCATCCTCATGAGTCCTGAGACCATGAAAATAATGTGCAAATATGATAAATATGTGAATTGTAATGACTGCCTAGACTAGACCAGATTTCTGTCATTGACGCTAGCCTCAGCATCACTTTACTTTGTACCTCTCTATATTTTATTGGCTAAAAGCTTACCCCTAACTTTAGCTGAGCACGCCATATAGCTAAATTAGCAGTTACCTGTATTTTACTTTAATGCGCACATTATTTCTATTTCTTTCTAAGGACAAGTAAGAATATATTAAATTTCCTCCCCTAAAGAGACCATCTGATATTTATTCCTAGTTTTTGTTATCAGTTAGAGGCAGAACCCACTGAAACCCATAGAAATCTGTCCAAAGGCTTTCATAAACTTTGTCAGAAGTTGAAATTTAGGCGGTAGCCAAAAGGTTTTCTCTTGTTTGAATGCTGAAGAACTGTCTAGAAAACTGCATTTTCTTTCCTCTGCAATTTTTAAGTTTTTATGAAGTTATGTCACAAAGCTCCAGTATAATCTGAAATACTGTGTTTGAAAACTCTTGGATATGGTTCTTAAGAAATGAAATATTCTGCTCGGGATAATGTGCACTTAAAAGCTGAAAATATTGTGCGTCTCATGAGTGGTGGGATCTCATGAGCCCAGTGCTGAGCTGATACCTGACAACTTGTGATGGTAACAAAACCCCTAGACTGAAGGAATCAGAGGGGGCCAGGAGTTTGGCAGCCCAGATTTTTGGAGGGAAAGTGAATGGCAATAGATTTCATTTGACCTAAGATATGCCGCAGGCAGTGACCAAGCTTCCCGTAAGGCCAACCAGGCATGTAACTACGTAAGTTTCAATGGAAGCTCATCAAAAGAAAATAGTATTTCCAAAGCACTTCCATTTTAATGAATCACCAGTTTCCAAGGAAAACTTCTCTTTCAGAAAATTCTCAGCCTGGTACTTTTTGACTGCAGGTTAGAAATTGGTCAGGCATTGCTCAGTGATAATGTCAGTCTTCTGTTTAAATTCCCATCAAGTAAGACCTTGCAGAAAATATTATCTCTTGCAGTATGTAACATTGCTTTGAATTTGTTTACTACTTCTTAGTCATTGATTGTAAGATGGAGGATGATTTAGCAACTAGACACAGAAAACAAGTTATTCTCCAAAAACTTTGCATCTACTAAAAAGGATGGTGTCAACAATAAGATAAGAAAGCTAGGTCATTCTTGTTTAGGGAAATGAGCTAATCATATCGTGGGTTGTTATCTGCTACATTGTTTGAGTTATAATTTTGTTGGCATCAGACATAATGATTAAAAGGAGAATTTATGCCTTCTAACCTCTCTCTATAATTGTGCCTATATATGTTTATGACTATAAGGAAAATAGGGAAACTTCCATGAGGCAAACCCATAATTTTATAAACATAATGTTCTTATATTGCATGATCAAAACTGTAGAAATGCTGACAACTTATTTATTCTGGCATGCTGCAAAAATGAAACTGTGTGCTCTGGCTTTTATGTTATGTGCTGTGTAAGCATTTATTATATTTTTCTGAAACTTTCTAAGGATGCAGAAAATCCTGCCAATTTGACCAGTTTCGTGGTGGCATGCAGTATTGGAAACATAACCATTCAGGATCTTCAGGATCATGTGAAGGTTACAATTAAGCATACCAAAATTCAGGTAAGACAAGACTGATTATTCAGAGGAACAGGAATGCAGATTATATATAGTAAAGGCTAAGCATATAGCCTGATTGATTTGGATGGATTTTAAGAACATAAACTCAAATGGAAATAAAAACTCTAGAACAAAAGCAAGTAAGCAAAAAGTAAAAACAAATAACCTCTCCCATCCTCACACATTCCTACTCCATTCATGATCTAACATTTATCTGAAAGACTATTAATTCTGCCACTCAGAGGCAATTGCTGTGCCAATAACTGCAGGCAAAACCTCTGTTCATGACCATGTTCATGACCAGGGACACAGTTTATTACACTGGAACTTTAGAATTACTTAAATTCTTTGATCAAACATGAATTCCTTTGTTAATAGTTCCCCAAGTTATTTTGTTGTTACGTGTTTTTCAGCAAAGGAAGAATGGACAGAACCATGTTGTTAAAAGATGACTACAATTCATTTAGGGAAATACAGACCAAATGCAACCTTTTGGTACATACTGTTTCAGTTAAAAAAAAACTTGTGAGCTTGACTCTGTTCTCAGACATGTTGTCAATAGCTACTCCAAAAGAAACAATAGCACTAGAGAAGTTAAGGAAGAAGTTTAAAATGCAATACCTACATAAATTGTTCATGTAATGAGAACCTGGTTCATAATTTTCACAATTCAATTAACTTTACCTACATTTCATTATAATGATTATTTCAAAGTCACAAAACAACCACCTCCACTTTAGACTCTGTAAAGACATCATACTCATGGATAACTTTAGTGAGGCAATAAAAAAATTATTCTAAGGATGTGGAAAAGGAACAGTGCAGAGGAACAGTACTCTAGATTATAAAATCTGGGCCGATCTGTCTTTCTAGCAGATCAAGTACTGATTTGACACTAGACAAAATTTAAACAATCCAAATAATATTTATTTTTCTGCTTATTAAGTGAAAAGATATATATTAAAACATCTGTTGTTATATGTTGATGAGATTTGTGTCTGAAGAGGTATAAAAGGTCTACTTTTAATGTGTTCTTAGGAAGATCCTAAGCCTACCTGTGTCTTCTGGGATATGAATAAAAATGGTAAGTTTAAAAATACTTTATTTCTTTTATGAGAGGAATAAAGGTGCCTATGTTTTAAAATCTGTCACAGTCTTGGCTCTTTTTGCTTCTTAATCAGTCCTTGCAGAATTAGATGAAATCTTTAGACTGTATCGTTTCTAGTGAGTAAGGTCATTTGTAACAACAGATGTTAAATATTCTTACTAAAAGTTTTGTATGTAAATTTGGTTAACGTTTTAAATTTGTAAATAGTTTCTCTATTTTTCTGTATCTGAAAGCAGTTTTTCACTGATCTGCCTGTATGTGCAAATTAAATAGTAATTCTAATCAGACGAGTGGTTCTTAGCCATACTTTTAACTGGCCATTTTAAAAATGTTGTGTTATTTAATTGTGAGATTGTGCCTGTTACAAATCTTAAGCTGGTTTTTTTTCTTCTGTGGAAGGTTAGGAACTATATTACACAACCTGCATTTAGACAGAGACGCTACATGCAGCTTGTAAAAAGACAGTTTGCATGATGAGGTCCCATATGGAGACACACATTAACAAGGCATCATTTTACCTCATTCTTCATTGCTACTGCCTAACCTGTGTGTGATGTTAAACTCAAGCTCTTCGCCCTTTGCACAGACCTTTGCCATTCTCCGGGATGACTTTCCAGATCCTTCTATTTTAGAGTTCACTACTGGAATGTTACTTCTCCTTACCATAGAAACAGAGATAGAGCAAAGAAGTAACTGTCCCTAGCAGTAGGATTTGAGGTGGCGGGGTTTAGTACAGAGAGTCTTGCAAGAAATAAAATTTACCTCCCAAAGTTGTAGGTGAAAACAGGAAATTCAGACAGAAGAACTGAGAGGCATGAAGAAGGGTAAAAAAGAGGAAAAGAAAAAGAAAAAAGAACCTAGTTAGGAAGCTAAACTTAAGCAGCACATCAAAGGAGAAACACCCAGGGAGGAAGCTATTCTCAGTGGCTGCTCGAATCGGGGAGAGTTTTAAGTGGGTTTGGAACATCTTCACAGTCTTTTGAGAGAATCTGTCTTGAATTTGAGGTAAAGTTATCGGGCTAGACAGATAATTTGCTGGATTTTGCCTGGAGTTGTGCAAAAATGTCTTTAAAAAGAGTTCATAGCTATTTCACCAAATTAGTTCATATTTTAGCAGGAAAAAAATGAAAGGAGAAGTAATCAGAAATACAAATTTTACTTTTTAACTTTTTTTTTTTTTTAAATAAAATCTTTCTACTTATTTTTCAGAATGGCCTTTTCAGATGGGGTGGGTAGGGTATAGTTTACTTCATGTTTTTTCTTAAGGCCACAAAGAATAATTGGGATTATCCACTCTGACCTTCTGCATTACATGCTGCAGAGAGGAATGGCAGGACCCTCTGCTCCTGAGCCATAGCTACTTTCATGTGCCTGAGGATATATGAGTAGGAGGAAGGCAGGTGCAGACATCACATTGGTGTGGTAAAAGGGAGTTCTAAAACCATCTTATTGTTGGGTAAAACTAAGGTGTGTCTTAATGCGTGATCCACATAGTAGGTCTTACTCATCCCTCATTAACCAAAAAGTTCCCTACCTTTATTATAGATGTCCACCTGTTGCTTCTACTCAGTAGTCCATTACTGAGACAGTCATCTGGTGTGATTCTCTGCAGAAACTAGGAAATCTGACACTTCCTTCTTTCCTGACTGTTTTTAATGTTCTCTCATTCAATTTGAGCAAGCACTTCCGCATCTGCGCAAGATGAAGTGAGAAGTCTGTTAAAAGAGAGGGTGACATGAGTTTGTTGGAAAGTACAGTTTCTCCTGTTTCATTTCCACAGGTGGCAATGGTGGCTGGAACCCTGCGGGCTGCCGAGTGGATGCAGAGTCCAACGAGAACGAGACGGTTTGCTTATGCAACCACCTCACGCACTTCGGGGTCCTCATGGTAGGCAAACTCACTGTTCGCCAAGTTATCTTTCCTGGGAACTGCAGTGCAGTTTTTGTCTTGGGTCAAGACAACTCTCATTTTTGTTACTTGGGTTACTCCTTTTGCAGATGGTTTTTAATAATAATACATCATTTTCCCCCTAACTGTCATAAAGTTATCTTTTCATAACAGAATAGTTAGCAATAAGGATTCAGGAATGAGGTAAAGAATAAAGTTAGTAATGAAAGTATGTTATTATTGTTATGTTCTTTACAAGTGGCGAAGTATTATAAAAGAAAAAGTAAAATGTGCCCATAAGACTATGCTAAATTTTGCAAATACTGTGCCTTAAAAGACCTGCGGTTGAGACTTCTGAGTGATACCAAAATACAAACAGTATATTATAACATCCAGCTTCAAAGCTGGGACATGGCTGGGTGAAAAACAAAGTCAGGAACTGTAAAATGAAGGCCCAGTACTAACACTTCCACAAGCAAAACAGAAAAAATTTATCTTAATGAGTCCTAAGGTGCAGGGGATCCCTGTCATTTCCCTTAACAATATAATGACGAAAATGACCTGCAGCTGAGTCAGGAGGGTGTAACAAAAGGGAAGTGAATGAGAAACAAGTCTAGGTAGATTTGAAATTTCAAGATCAGGAAAGTGGGAAGTTGTTTGCAGGAGAAAAAAGTAGGAGAAAAAGTTGAGGTGCTGTTTTCAGAACAAAAAAAGAGAGATTTTTGTAGTCAGGGAAAGAAATATGTCCTACAGTGAGTAAAACTGCTGATGAGGATGAAAAGTCAAGAGATGACAATAATTCCTTTTCCTCCTGAGATTCAAGGGACTAAATTCCCCCTTGCAAATTTAGGTTGCAAATCTGACAAGATTTGTATTTATCTAATGTCAGAAAGTATAAAGCAATACCTTCTTTCGTGAAATGTGTAAACCCATATTTGCTGTTTTCTTATAAATGGCTTTAATCAGCTTTGGGGATGCCTTGCAGTACAGGCCTTCTCTTGGAAAAAGTCTGCCCACTGAGGGCTGGTACAAACCGTGTAACTCATACTCTATCAGAGCCGTAAGCAAAGTCTCTAGTCTGGGTGGCTGAGATAGGTAGAGCATAGCCTATCAGGGAGATGAAAGAGGGAACCATATAGAGCACTTCAGCCTCAGTAGCATAAGTCATCTAGCATTCAGGTGCCTCCAGCAATTTGCACGTGTGAAGTGTTTTTGAGAGGAAAAAATTCCCAACATGAAAAAGATGGAATACTGCTATCTTTTCTTAACATTTGGTGATTTTGTACATTCAGAAATGGGCTGAAACATTTCTTTCCATCTGAAATTAACTTTCTTTGGCCTCTAAAACATACCTGAAGAAAAGATGTTTGTTCCTGACCACGGCAATGATGCAGAAGTATTTGGGGTTTGATTTAACTTGTTGCAGTGACACATAGGACTTAACTGCACAAGGGAGCGGCATGCACTGACTTTTTCAGCTTTGGCCTTCCAGAGCCTTTTTAATAGAGCTGCTCTCTTCACGTCATGCTTAGATGTAGATATGAAAAAGCCACAAGCTTTTTGTCTTTTTGCAAGCTAAATTGTGGTCTTGTTTCACTTTTCATCCTCGAAGGGAGAAAAAAAGAGCTTTCTTTAGGATATATTCAATGAGTCCCTTCTCTTCCCTGAATGCTTTTGTGGCAGTAGGAAATAAGGCAGAAGTTCTTTGAATTTGGGCTGTGTTCCAATAGATTTTTACACAGTTTTGACCCTTTAAATTGCTTTTCCATTCAAATAATCTTTTTTTACTTTAATTTAGCTATTAAATTATTTTCAAATAACACTCTCCTTATATATATAAACTGTCATATAAGATTGTGACAGGGTGTAAAAAAACTGCATACAGCTCCTTCCTTTTCCTACGAAGAAAGGCAAGATTTGTAGCATTTTGTTGGTTTCTTTTTGCTAGATAGTTTTGCTAGGGGCAACAGTTACACTGACTGCAGAATGGACACCATTATATGTTAGTATTTGCGCACATTTACCCCACAGTGATATAGATCCAAACATTCTCATTTTTTCTTGTCCTTAAAAAAGGAAATAACACTGGCATTTATTCTCAGACGGTACTATGTGGCAATTACAGTTGGACAGAAAGCTGGAAAAAAAATCCTCAGAATGTTCCTGCTTCATTTCCAGTTGTTTTTTTTTTTTTAATGTTGTCTTTGTCACTATTTTTCTGACCAATCTATTTATAACTGTAGTTTGCATGTCAAAACAGACCATAAAACCAAAAAGCAATATCTTGCCCTTGGTTTCACCCATAGATGATTAGCTACGTTGACTCTTACGAACATTTAATAACAAGAAGTGATGTCAGAAGCTCCCCAGAATGGTGCATATTTCAGTATGAATACTTTTAAATTACATTTTCTTAAATGTTACATCTTCTTAAAAAGAGTTGTCTATAAGCAATGGACCTAAAAAGTTTGAAAAGGGGAGATTTTTCCAGAGAAGGACATGTGAATTCCTGCTACCGAATTATAAGGATCAGTATCAGGCTCTGTCTGTCTGCTGATTCCAGCAGTTATAGTACTTAAAGCACAATGTTTTCAAGAGCTATGGGAAGGAAGTGAGAGGTGTAACGACTATAGACTAAGTATACTCAGTAAACATGAACCCTAATGTCAGGGTTATAGTGGTATTGCCAAAGTGCTTTTGAGTTTTACTTGACTGATTACCAAAAAACAGTGTTGTGCTTATGGAAAAGGTGTTTGCTATAACTGATGCTTCTTCCTCCTCTCTCACATAGGACCTTCAGAGGACCGTTACACAAATAGACCCACAGAATACCAAGGTCCTGACCTTTATCACTTACGTAGGCTGTGGGATATCTGCTATATTTTCAGCTGCAACTCTTCTGACATATATTGCATTTGAGTAAGTATTAGTTCTGTAAAAAACATCACAAAGGAAGTACCTGTATGTGATGAATAAAATAAATTAGTTATATGGTTGGTGTGGTTTATTTGTCTAGGAAGGGAAATCTATGTTTAAAAAAAAAAAAAACAAACCTGCAAAATTATGGTCCCAATGCTGTAAGTGGAAATTTTTTCCAAAGGGACATAAGTTCAGACTCTTTCCTCCTGTTTCCAATGTGTTGTGCTGCTCAGGCTGGGCAACAAGGCTAATGTGTCTCGAAATTTTCTCTTTTGGTAGTATGGTATCCTCTAGATTCTGAACAGATATGTATTGTTTTAAAATCCACAACCAGGCTTTTTGTAAAAACAAAAACCAAACTTGCCTGTGTGAGCATAACAAGCCCTAAGTATAAAAAGAGAAATTTCCAACAAGAACAATTACATTCTAGAGCCCTTCAGAAAGAAGTGGGAAGAGAAATAAAATGAAGATAAACCGTGAAGTGTTACAACAATTTCAACAGCAGTGCTACTGAAATGTGAAAGTGACTCAAGGGAATGCAAAAGTTTTGAAGTGATACAGTTCTGTGAACAGTGAAAAGAGAAAATGAAGTCATATCAACACAAAGGAACCATTTTGCTTGTAACAGGACAGGACAGAGTAGCTGCTAAAGACGGATAGTTTGCTGGGGGGCGGGGAGGGGAGGCAGGGGAAAGGGAGTTTTCGAGTTCTAAGTATCTCTAATGATTGCATTCCTATTGCATTACCTATGGTATAATGTTCTGGTCCAATATAGCCTCAGTTCATGCATTTCAGTGTGTATCAGTTAAAAAAGAAAATTGACTTGATCTTCGGACTTCCTAAGATCCTATTAAAAACCCAACACCCTCACCCCCCCCACCCCCCCAAAAAGAAAAATTCTGACAGAGAACAACAGTAAGCACTGGACAATATATTCCAAAAATTAAGCAAAGATTAACATATAAAATGATCAGAGATGAGCTTTTGGCCAGCTGTGTATTGAAAGTTTTTGTTTTCTTCAATTTTCACTTAAAGTACAAACCACACTATATTATATTTAATTTGAAAGGTTTTTAATAATAAATCAGTTGCTAAAATACTGTGCCAGTTAATTAACTCATTAAGGGCCCAAAGAAGTGCTGGCTTTCCCCCACAACATACAAGAGAAGCCTTCAGTGATATCTCACAGAAGTACACATCACTATGCCTTATTGCCACAAAAGCTTATGGCTAAGAGGAGATCCCTGTGCTTTTATTTACTTTGTAAACTGGTAAATCTAGCTGCTGTAAGTGGCTTGGGTGATTAACGACAATTAATCATATGCACCTGTATTTCTCTCATTAGGAAGCTGCGAAGAGATTATCCATCCAAAATCCTGATGAATTTGAGCACAGCCCTGCTCTTTCTTAACCTGATCTTCTTGCTTGATGGTTGGATTGCATCATTTGGCATCGATGGCCTCTGCATAGCTGTAGCTGCACTTTTGCACTTTTTTCTTCTGGCCACCTTTACATGGATGGGACTAGAAGCCGTTCATATGTACATTGCTCTAGTGAAAGTGTTCAACACCTATATACGGCGATACATACTGAAGTTTTGCATCATTGGGTGGGGTGAGTTCAGTAGATGCAGTATTTACATAGCATGTATTTTGAAACGATGCTCTATAAAAGCTCTCTATCACAAATGCAGAGCAGAATCAAAATCAGCATGGCATTTCCTTCCCCCCACCCTGTGGCAGTGCTGGCATGCATCCAGCCCTCTCTGTCACTGAGTTCCCCTGTATAATTCTGTGCAAATACACCATAACTCTCATTCTCTGCCTGGAGCAGCCTACAGCCCGAGGAGGAGCGGAGAGACCAGATAATCTGGTCTTACTTTCCAGAGAGGCCAGAATGGGAAAGGGGAAAGGTTATATCATATCAGAGGAGAACTGTGGCAAACAATGAATTCAGAAACACTTGCAGTTACTACATAGCCTATGGGGATCTTTGCATTGACTTTCAAAAAGCTTTCAATGCAGCTTAAAGTTTCTTGCCAACAAGTACAAAGCCTATGGCGGAATCCAAAACAACCAAAATTTCCTGAGCTTCAGCACAGTGTTTAAACCACAGAGAGATCCTGCCTGCCCTAAGCAGTATACACTGCAGGACTGAAATGAAAAATGTAATACTGAAAAATAACTGCGAGGCTCAGGCAGCAAGGCTTTTATTCTTCGTTTTTTTCTATATCAGGAATCTGTGCCTTCTGCCTGAATGCGCATATTGTGTTTGAAATAATACAACACAATACAAAACCATTAACCTCATGGCTAGAGCACTGACCTCAGTCCAGCTGATAATTGATGTCTTTCCATTGGCAAGGAGCATCCTCTTTGGCAACCTCAGCAGATGACAAGGACTGAGTGGTCGGAAAAGCAAATTAACCTCTTCCCCTTTGAATCTGTTTTGTCATAGCAAGGATAAGGCATGTAAATAAGGCATGCCAGGAAACATACGTTTCTTTTGTGTGAGCTGTACCTCTCTGCACAGCGTTCTGTTATTTTCCCAAAATAGTCCCCTTACCTTATTATTAGAAAGAAATAATTTACTTCAATTTTTTGGACACATTTAAGTAAAGGATATATAATGTTGTAGAAAAAAAGACCACATTAAGCGTTGAGAGAAGTAGCGGTGAAATTACAGGTTCAAGTTCAAGTTCCCCAGTTCCCTAGCCTAATCAAGTGACATTAGCATCTGTGAGAAAAAAATCCCTCAAAAAAATCCCAATAGCATCCCTCCAGCAGATCTCATTTTTGTAACAGTTCGTTAATCTTCTTTTCATTTTATTATGAGAGCCTGTGTACAATTGCAAATTTAACTTTGAGTAATTAAGGGAGATTATTCTACTCTAGTTTCCATACCAAATACTAAAATATCATTTTTTACCTTACAGAACAATGAGGCTTATTCATTAATGCTCATTAAGTACTTGGAAGGTTTTATACATTTGTACTGTTTGAAAAATCGTTTCTTTCTACTTCTCTGTGCAGTCTTCTGACATAGAACTACCTCAGGATATTCTGTACTAAAGCAATAGGGATGGAGACATCAATAATTCAGCTTTGCCTGGTGATTTTGAAAGTTTAGGAGATTTGAAAGCAAACTACAAGTTTTCTTGTGTTACAGGTTTGCCAGCTCTGGTGATAGCAATTGTTTTAGCAAGTGCTAATACAAATGCAAGTCATGTTTATGGCAAAGAGTTATACGGCAAAGATGCTAATGGGCAAGGAGGAGATGACTTGTGAGTATTTCTTTTAATCTCTTACAATTTAGCATTTACAGTCTGCAAAAAAGGAAAGAATTAGCATTGGTCAGATTGCTTCGGAAAAGTCAGAGGTGCATTAAACAAGCGAAGTGGGCAAAATTGTCTTCTAAATTATTTGAATCTGAGCTATGAAGAAGGCTAGAAGAAAAATTGGAGGGAAATCTGCATTACCCAGTGCCAGGTACAAACACTCCTCTGGTAAAAGAATAATTCATAAGTTTTGTCATGAAAATAAAATTAAAAAATGTCTGGTTTGGTTTATCTTAAATGAAAGCTATATCTTCTAGGTAAGAGCAAAGAAAGAAGTAAATATAAAAATACTCACCTTTGTGAATAAACCAGCCTTTTGTCAATGTAGTTCATTAGCTTTCCGTGTTCTTCTCTTGATGTCCAGATAACAATCTCCAAATGCCACAGTTTTTATGTGGCTGTTTGTTACTTCATTTTCTGTTCCTTGCCTGGCAAAGCTTCATCACAATAAATAAAAATGTCATTCTGCATTTTTATTAAAGTATCATGTTAAGCATTCTGGCCATTTGCTGCTGGTTGAATAAGCTAGATCTCTCACATGGCTGACTGTCAAATGGCTGCCTCAAAGGACTACCTGTCCTGCTTCTTCTCCAGAGCTGTATGAGTTCTCCTTTAGCTCAAGTGGCAGAAGCTTGCGATTTTGGCGCTGAAGATCCAGGTTTGCCCATTCTGTTACTAAAGCATCCTATGCTTCACACAGATGAAAGCAGTGAAGCTACTCATACTGAGTCTAAATTTTCCATTATGGGATTACATTTCCCACACCTTGTATCTGAAGTCAGATTTCCTTTTTAAATAGTTTTAATTAAACTGTGGTACAGCCCTCAGATTTCTGACATTATACTACTATGCTCCATAGTCACACTTAAGATACCACTCTGCTTCATCCTATTTACAAGCAGAAAATGGACAAAGGTTTCATTTGAAAGTATAGCTCTGCATCAGTGGAATCAGACATAGACTGATCTTCCTTGTAGTCATATAAATTATTGGAGGATAGTTTGCTTTATCTAAAAATGATCATATTTTTGTATTATTTTGCAGCTGCTGGATCAAGAATGATGTTGTCTTTTATGTGACTTGTGCTGGCTACTTTGGAATCATGTTTCTGATGAACGTTGCCATGTTTATTGTGGTGATGGTGCAGATCTGTGGGAGGAATGGGAAAAGAACTAATCGGAGCCTGAAGGAAGAGATCCTGAGGAACCTCCGTAGCGTAGTCAGCCTGACCTTCCTCCTGGGCATGACGTGGGGCTTTGCCTTTTTTGCCTGGGGTCCCTTAACACTTCCTTTCCTGTACCTCTTCTCCATTTTCAATTCATTGCAAGGTAAGCTGAATTTCTGTTCTGTGAACAAGTAAAATTTGAGCTGTTCTGGGACAAGTATGTTCTGGGACATGTTATGTCCTATGATTTGACTAAGTAACTCAGATCCAAGCTCTCTGGGTCTTTCCTTGCTACTAAAACATCATTAGTTTCCCCTTATGTGGAACAATGATACCAACTACACATGGGTTGAATATCTTAGTTAAATTAATTAGTTTCAGGGTCTTTTCAATAAAATGCATTTTATTATAAATAGTACTATTCCTGACTAACAGTCTGCAGGGATTTCTATGGAGATAGATGCTGTATGACCTTCAATATTTCCTTTCACTGATTATAGCAAATATAGGAAACCTCTTTCCTTGATTTATTCCGGTAGGGAATCTGTAAAGCTCATAACTATTTTATTAAGGCATGAGGCATGAAGGTATAAGCCAAAATTCAGTCCTGTTTCAGTGTGGAGAGATAGCACAGAGATATGGAATATTCTTTGGTTCTTTAAGGAAAATCAAATGACTGTTGTAGACAGCCTATTTTTGCTTCCTTTACTGAAGTTTTGAATATTTTCTTTTTCCAATGTAGTTCATCCTTCTGAAAAATGCTATAAATTGTAATCAAATGGTTATAAATTACAGAAGTATATAGCTGACATATAAGAAAATTTCAGCTCAGAGCTGAAATTTGTGTATGTACCAAATGACGTAAGAATCTCCACCCCGGCTTGCCCTGCCTCCTAATAAGGAACAACTGAAAACATCACAAAAAGAAAAACCCAAGAAAGCCATTGGAGAGGCATGTATTATACCACACACATATTGAGATTAAAAAAAAATTTGCCCCCCCAAAAGATAACAAAAAACAAACCCACAAATGTCGTTGGAGGAGTGTGTGTTATGCCACACAAACATGGAGATAAAATATAGATTTTCCCAGGGTCAGCAACATATCTTCCCTTTATGGAAAAAGTACTTAATGTTACACTGTGTCGATTTTATCTGTTACAGTTGAGACATATTTACTGCGCTAAAAGATTTATTGAGCTTTCGTGGAAAGAGAATAATGTTGTGGTTTTTGGTTTGGTTCAGTTTCAACCTAAAATGCTAGGCAAAATGGCAAAAATTGTTTGGATGTGGTGTTCTTGCTAAAGACTCTTTTTCCAATGCACAGATTGTGATACTCCCCTAGCAGCATAATGAAGTATTTGCTGCAATGTGTCCATATTAGAAATTCAGAAGGGCCTAGAGAGATTAGAAGTATGGGAAGAACATGAAAAAAGATTAAAACTCTGAAAAGCATGCCAAGGATCAAATTCAGCAAGTTCTCTGCAACCAGAATTTCCAGTGCAATCAATTAAGCTTGTATGTGCAGAGTGCACATAAGGTTGACCACCACTGCTTAAGTCTCTGTGGGGTAATAGCACTGTTCAATGGAAAATTAATATTTGGAAGGAAGTTAAGTCAGAAGATGAAACTGAAAAACCTGAGGAGTAAATGCAAAAAGGAGTGATGAGCTTTTCACAGATTGTGGTAGCAAAGATGGCACAGTATATATTCAGGCCTGTCGTATCAAGCACAGGAAGATAACAATCCCATATCTGAAAATGCTTATTGCTGTGTCAGAAAGAGCTGGGAAAAGCTAAGAAACAAGAGGATGTTTAAAATCACATACAACTGGTGTCATGCACATGTAGCAGTAAGGAGATGGAAGGGAGCAAATAAAAATTTAGGATTTGTATCAGGAAGCATTTCCTAGCAGCAAAAAGCAGTTCAGTATGGCAAGTCTTTCATCAGTATTAGCATGAGCTTAATTATTGAGCCCTCAGTAAATGTGTTTATTCTTTCTCAGAAGTTTTTGAAAACTGCACTAGTATTTTCAGCTATACTAGCCAGCCTTCATCAACTTAGTTTTCTGTGCACTGGCAGGGAAAAAGTAAATTGCAGCAACTACTGGTGTTACTGTACTTTGCTATTTCATCTACATAGGAAATGATTTTTCTCTCTTTGATGCTCAGAGTAAAAAATCTGGGAAGATCTCTTTTTTTGGCTGCTCATTTTATATATATGCCTGGGCAAGCCAAATACTTTCAAGTCAGAGCCAAGCTAGAGCCAAGCCTAGGGTCTGATCTGGCTCTGGGAAACAAAACCAAAGCTGCATTACTAAAGCACATTGTAAACTTAATGAATAATGAAATACAGAGAAAAAAAATTTAGAGACCAAGCCCAGACAGGGCAAAGGCAAAGTACTTAATGCAGTACATGCGTTTTGTATTACTATAGGCATACACATTTTCTTTTTTAACCATTCAGAATGTTCCCAACATTCACCACAATTTAATTAAGCATCAATTTAGTAAGTCTGTAGCTGTACAGAAGTCCTAAGAGGTACTTTGGCCACAAACAACTGCATAACTCTAAGCCTGTAAGAGCTGCTAGTGACTGCATTGGAATAACGCTGTGCTTAAAACAAATCACACACAGAAATATTTTACTAAATGCAAACATAGTAACCATAATTCAATGGAGCTTTAAGGTATGGGATGCATTAAGGTATGTTTGCCGTACTTAAATTGTGCTTCTCCTTTTTTTTTTTTTCCCCCATCAGGTCTTGAAAAATTTTGCAAAAAATGTGTTTCATGACACAAAGTTTACCTAAAGTTAACTGATCTCAGTGGTCACACCCTGGCCTGACAGCTATAACAAATACAAGTCCAGTTCAATGACAAGCATTCATGCAAAATTAGACCTCAGCACTTTGGAGGAGAGAGGATAATTTTATGCTCCAGAGCAGTTTTTTCCAAGCTATACCCTGCCATTGTGTTCTACCAGCTGAAACATAGTAGGCATTAGTATACTGAGCTATTCATGATGATCATAAAGGAACAGTCTTAGAGGATGGCACTTAACCTTGTTTGTCCACATTATGTAGCATTTAGTCATGTTTAAGATATAATCACGAGGGATTTGGCAGTAACATTTTGCCATCAGGTGTTCAGCCCCAGGTTGGCTCTCTCCCAGTGAATAAGAATAAAACAATAACAGGCCAAGCCAGAGAACGACGGAAGATTCCATAGCCAGTGCCTGCCTGGGAAGTGCCAGGAGCATATGAGATTTTCAGCTTCTATATTTAGCTCCAAAGTATCTCTGCAGAATGATGAAATCATACCATACACCCAGTTAAGACCTTCTTTACCACATGGTAGATGCTTATCTCCTGTCTTGAAAATAAAGATTATACAATTGCATGAGAAATATGTTTAAGAATGTTTTTGTAGAGTTCATATTTATTGAGATTGCATGCGCAAACCAGGTAATTTTCTTCAGAAGTAAGTAGCTGGACACCTAATTAGTACTTGTGAACATATTCTTACCATTTTCATAATCATTTCAAGTACATGTGTGTGGAGCATATACATCCAAGTGTGCTTTTTCAGGGCACTCTTTAGTACCAATGACAAGACTTCTGGTTTTAAAAGAATACAGTCCACAGTTCTGTAGATCTGGAACAGGAGGAGATAAAATATCTTCTTGCTAATATGATAGTGTCTGTATTTACTTTGCAGTCTGGCTCTTGCTGTTGCAAAATATTCATTTGGTTCAAAGACAAAACCTTTTAATTATTTCCCTCTAAGCCAAAAAAAAAAAAAAAAAAAACGCATTGAGCTGGATGTAAATCAACAGTGTCAATAAAAGGGGTCCTATTCTCTCTCTTCTAATATCCCAAGCACTTACATAGCAGCTAGAGGACAAGAAAGCTTTAATTTATTTCCATACCTCTTAAATGAGGCATAGATGACAATAAGAAACTTTATGATTTTCCTTTGCTTGTACTTCATAGTCATTTGTTAGCAGATTTTAGTTAATCTATTTGTCTGTTTATAAATACATGTTTCATCTGCTGTTTATTTGCTTTTGTCGCAGGTTTATTTATATTTGTATTCCATTGCGCTATGAAGGAAAATGTGCAGAAACAATGGAGGAGGCATCTCTGTTGTGGCAGATTCCGACTGGCAGACAATTCAGGTAAAAGCAATGCACAGCTCCCCTCCTTAGATGCTGCAGTAGTCCATAAAATCGCTATGCGATTTTTAATATAATACAATCTAAGCCAGAGATGTGGAAAAATAGATTAATCATAGGCTGTCACTTCACTTCAGTACTAACAATTGCCAAGGGACTTTCCAGATATCACTTCATAAAAATTCTCAAGTCTTCTCTTTCAGTTTTCCACTGAAGGCAGCTGGTAAATTTTGTGGTGCTATAAGCATGGTTTTGGAAGGCCCTTTGCACCCTGGGGGGGAAAAAAAAAATATCCAGAAATTCAAACTCTGTCATTCAAAAGCCAGTCTTATTCCTTTTCTCCTACATTACAGTGTGTTGACTGAATTGTGTTAGGTTGATGTAGGTGCATTCTCAAAAGGCAGGTAGAAATAGGCTGACATATTTTGCTTTTATCTTTGCCTTTTCAAACTGTTCTCTCCTTTACTGTATAATTCAGAGAGACCATTAGAGACTCAAAAACATAGACAATTCCTTTAGCAGAAGCCTGATTAGGTTCCAGAATTGAAGTTCATCTTTATCTGCGACTCGGAGAGAAAGGAGAGCAGTTGGTTTGGACACTTTGAAGTGCAACATTTTACACTGCATTTATAGTCTCCTGCATCTTTGACCATCTTGGATGGCATTAGACTCCTGTGTTTAGGCAACTGGACCTTGCTTTGCTGTCTGATGTAATGATTTGGGGCCATATAATTCTTGCTCATACGGTTCTTGCTCAATGACCAAGGTTGAAATCTACAGTTATTGTAAAATGGCATAAGCTCATTGCCTAGTAAGGTAAGCCGGTCTATGGTGGATAACAACAGTGCTCCAAATATCCTTGTGTCCCTTCTCTCCTGGCATCCAAGGTTTGTTTCAAGGTTTTAAGTAACTGCTTTCCCATCAAGACCTTTGCTTTGTCTTGCTCTGTTTAGGGAATGCATTCTCATTGTACACTATAAAACATTTATGCTTTCATTTTGTAGTAAGAAAACCTGATCTGTGATTTCAAAGAGTTAATGCAAATTAGGAAAAGCATATTCATTCAGTTCAGGCATCTAGATTGTTTCATATGTTCAGTTTCCATGCGGTTCATGCTGTAACTCCTGAAGTGGAAAATACAGATGGATCAAATTATTTCCATTTTTTTATCCTGCTGGTGGGGAGCTTGTGGGTATGACAGAAATAAAAACCTGAAGGATTTGAGTATTTCAGTGGTATAGTTAATGTGCTATCATTACACCTAGCATTAACCAGTCCATCACCGCCCGCTGGTTTTATTCTCCATGAACCTGACACAGTTTGCAGGCAGAACAATGAAATATAAGCCAAAGGTGAACTCGCATACCTATCCGATTGAAATGTACTTTAGGGCATGCTATGATAAAGCAAAGAAACAAACAAGTGAAAGCCTTGCAACACTGCCATAGCTAGATCAGAGAAATATTAACCTATACCCTATAGCAATGATTTAGGAAACAATATTTGTCTTGATTTAAATCAAGGCTAAAGTGGCCCATGTGTCTTTGGTTTGGACATCCCTTCCATTTTGTGAATTTCATCGCAGTGTAGTGAATAACAGCAAGAAGACTGAAGTGTGAAACTACCTGTACTTACCTGCAAGTATATGATAAAAAAGTAGTTGCATACATTTATTCTACTGGTATTGGGACACTTGTGATGAGTTTTTCAGTGTCAGTTTTCCTCAAGAAGTTTATTAGTATTAGTTATTTAATTTCATTTTTGGAAGTTGTTCCAGTGTAAGAGCCTATCATGTTAATGGTTTGGATAAAACTCTTTGAATGTGAACTACTGAAAACCATTATTATTCATTGTTATTAATAGTGCACCAATATGCTAAATCCTACAACAACAAGTGCAAATCCACTAGTATGTAGTATCTACCTCAGCAGATCAAGCCCTCAAATGATAAGACCTCTGTAAATGCTCCTATCCATCCATTTTCTATCTATCCCTTTGGATTTCTCTGTTCAGGTGATGAAACTTCGGCATCCTTATACTGCTACAGATCTTCACTGCTCTCCTGCATCCTGGAAAGCCATATTGTACAGTTCTGCCACCCAGCCAAATGACTGTTAGAGTGTTAGAGCCACCAATTTTAACTACTGTGGTAAAGAGCAAAGTAAATCAAGTTGGAATAATTCTTGTGTTTCTTAAGAACCAAAGAGGCTACCTGACAGGAAAAGGATAGGCTGTTTGTTATAAACAACATTAAGAAATGCGTCTGATACTTGAATCGTTTGTAATTGAGTAAATTAGGCATTCAGTACCTATGGTAATTATTCATGTAAAACTTTTCAATCATTTTTAGATTGGAGCAAAACAGCGACCAATATTATAAAGAAGAGTTCTGATAATCTTGGGAAATCCTTATCCTCTAGTTCCATCGGCTCCAATTCAACCTACTTAACATCCAAATCAAAATCTACAACGAATACATATTGTAAACGAAACAGCCATACAGGTGAGTTCTTGCACTGTAACAGTGCATTTGTAAATAAGTAGTTTCATGTTAAAGGTACAGTAGGGTTTTCTACCCAAAGGTTAATGTGAGAACATTTCACCAATTTATATAGTTTCAGTATTTTTAAAATATATATTACTGTTTAATAAGAATCTTAACCTAATATACAATACCTCCAATACATAATTCTGATCTGGATATGTTCCCATACTAAAAAAAGTAGGCAGGATGAAAGCAAACCTTACTTTTTTATAGTGTTTTCACCTCTTTGGCTAAAAGAAGGTAAGTCTTATTATCCCATTGTAAACAGAGTAACCAAAGCACAGGGAGATGATGTTGTCATCAAGGTAATGTGAAAGCTAGCAGCACAGGCGGAAATAGGAATCGAGTCTTCTGAACCCAAGTCCACAGTTGATTCACTTGGTCAAACTGCTTCCATTTATCTGGAACACATTTATGGGTAAAGAGGCAAATGGAGGCTACTTGGAAATTGATACTGTGTTCCCAGAGTATGCATTGTCTTTCCCTTCTACAAATAGCATGCCATATCTACCGCTTTTTTATTTAAATATCAATGGTACATGTAATAAAAGTCATCATCTGTATTCCACTCATGCAATAAAAATGTGCTCATTTTAAGAACACTTTAAAGGAGCAAAAAAAGAGAGGAGCTGGATGTGCAAGTCTGTTTGCTTATGTCTGAGATAATATTTCAGAAAATCACTTAAATAGTTCAGATTTTTTTGTTACTGGGTTTTTGTGAACTCATGTTTTTGTCCTGTATAAACTCACATAACGTTATGACAGAATCCTTTTCTGAAACATAGTAGGAAAAAAAATCTGTGCACATATGTAACCCTAAGATGCATTTACTTTCTTCAAAATATTTGTTAGAAGCAATGTTAAGATATGAAATATATTATTTTACTGGAACAAAAGTTACATTGTTTCATAAGTATATATTATTTGCAGAAGTCCCCAATGTCTCATTTATGATGGTACAGTCCCCTTTCTTGATATGTGGCATAGTTTCCAGGAAATACCTTCTTCTTTTTGTTGACGATCATTACCTGGTTCACTTAGGCACACAATTTTTGTCTAGAAATCCCCCTTTTTAAGAATTACATTGTTATTTTCTCGCCAACCAATATTCAGTGCACCCGTTAGCATGAGGGGTTGTGCATGAGGTGTCTTAAGAGTGTAAATCTTTTTTGGTTATCGAGAATATACATGAAGTACATTTGCTTTGAATACAGTAAAAATGAGCGGTATCTTAGAAATTCCCCAGTGTACCTGAGCTCACTCTCAGGACTGACATTCCCAGCTGCGCTGGGAGCACACAGCTGGCGCCTGCCTCACCAGGGTGCCTGTCCCTGCTGCCATCTCAGGTTTGATGTGCCACACGCCCAGCTGCCCTGAGCAAGCTGTCTTCAGCTCGCTCTCCTATGAAGTGGCACTTCTGTCAGCAGTCTTCCACGAACAACATCTATAATATTCACTGATCACTGTGCTGCTATTAATTTAATAGTAGAGGAGGAGAGCATTGTGCCCTTTCCGCTGTAGAACATTCTTCATTCTGCAGACAAAGAATTCCTATTTGTACTCATGGCAGTTCAACCTTTAGACCCTTGGTATTGTGGTTAACGATAAAAATATGCTCAAATGTTTTGTTGGACTCAGGGCTTTTTATCAGTCTGACAATTAAAGAGACAGTGCTGGAGTTTTTACAATGCGTTCTTGAAGCAAAGCAATAAAAGAGTTCCAGATAAGAAGTAGTAAGTTAAAAGAAACTTACAGTTAGGAACATGCTCATGTACTTTCTTCAAAAGTGATGAGCTTAATCCCATGCATAAATTATTTCCTAAAAGGGATTGCAGTTGGTAATGTAATCATAGTTTGTAATGCAATTGTTTATTGGGCATTAAGGGAATACCGCAGTTTTCTCTATATTTTTAAAATTTTAATGATTTTGCTTTGACCTCTGAAAATACACACTTTACTGTGATACTCCAAAGGAATTTTTGTTAATGTTAGGTTTTTAAATACTGACATATCTTCTCAAGTGTTAAAATAATAGAAAATAACATTAAGATTCTGATTTTTAATACAGCTAAACTTCTCAGTTTGATGTCTTAGCTAAATTGTAGGCAAATAATGTAATAGCTATATGTCTTGGCAACTCTTGTTAATATGGTTAATGTGCTCCCTGGAATTGACACAAGCATTCATGTGTTTGTGGTATAGATAATGTCTTCTAAGGCCCTTTCCTCATCAGTGGTGGAGCATTACAGGTAAAGTGAGAATTGCTTTTGTTGAATGCATGGTTTGCACAGAGTAGAGGGATGCCACTTGCATGATGTCCTCATTGACACAAAGGACTTTGCTAATCAGAAACGCTGCTTGTTTCTCACTATTGCATCTTGTGCCATTGATGCTGAATCAAAGGATAAGCGTGCTTCAAACTCTGGGTGTCTGCACTCTGCATGGGGCATGAAGCATTTGGAAGATACCATTTTAGAAAACAGACCATGTCCTGACATTAATGGCTGTGTACAGTAGTCTGGGGAAAGGAGATTAAGTTGGAACAGCCATACACAAAGCTTACATCAAAAAGTAAAACCAATCTGAAATCCTAGAAATTTTTTTAAGATATTGTATTTCTATTTGGTCTATGGCCATTATGGAATTAGTCTTCTAGCCATTGTTTTTTTCATATCCAGTCACACCCAAAGTAAGTCAGAATGACAAACTATATGTGCCTGAGAGCCATGCTGTGAACTGGTGGTTAAATGCAGAATGCACTGGTTGGGACAGAAATATTGGGTGGACCCTACTGAGTGGATGAAAGAAATCACTTTAGCATCTTGTGGCCCTGCTGTCTACGAGTCTGACACAAAGTTCTTGTAGATAGTACTTAAATACCACATATAACACTTCTATGACTTAGAAGTTAAGATTATTTCTGCAGTGGATTTGGTGGTACAACTCCCATTTACTTCAGTGATACAGGATTTTAACCTTGTACTTGGGTGTGAAGCCCATTGAGCTAAAAAAAAAAAGGGCCCCACTGGTTTGAAAGGACTTATGTAATTCCCATGTGTGCAAATTTCATGAGGAAATAGATGGTATTTAACAATGTAATGATGCCTTGTGAAAAGAAGTGTACATATTTGCAAGGAATTTCAAAAAACTTCCCTATAGACTAAGAATTAACTTCTCATCTTTGTAATAAGGTATTCAATATGTAGAAAAACTTCAAAATGTAGTACCACTAGCTAATAAGTGCATACATTTGAAAGGTACACAGCACCCAGCAGTTTGCTATTGGGCATGGAGTTATTTGCTGCGATTCATGGACATTCTTGCGTGCTTTGGAAAAAATCATTCTGATATGCCTGAACATGCCTGTTTCTTTTTTCATGAGTACAACTGTTTTGATTTCTCACTCTGCAATCCATTTCTCCTTCATGAAACACTTCATACTCTTTTATGGCTTGATATCATGACTTCTGCAGGGGTGGGTTACTTTTCTGTTTATTTTCAATTAAAGATTTATTTCTATAAGAACCAAGTTTTGTATTAAATCATAGTTTAAATAATATGAAAAAATTTTAAATGATCCTTTACCAAGGAATTTTTGAAGGTCATTTCACCAAGGTTTTGTAAATAGCGATCAAAAATGCCACGTGTAGAAAACATTGCTTCATAGGATACTCCCTCTTAATGTCGGCTTGCGATGGTCCAAACCTTCCTTGGCTTAAGAGAATTAATTCCAGCTTTCTTCACTACAGTGGAAGAGATAAGAAAGCTCATTAGGACAATGAACTTCAGAAAATGAGAAACAGGGTCTCTCCTTCTCATTGCTCACTACATGAGCTCTACCTACTGACCGTTCTCCGAACAGCAGTACTGTTAGCTGCTGAAGCAGACTTTCCCGGCCAGGCTGGGAATTGCCTTGCTCCCTTTTCAGCTCCACCTTTGGCTTATAGCACATGAGCACTGAAAGGATGCCAATTTTTGGCATCTTTTCCTCTTCGCAGTTGTTCAGTCTGTACCCTCCACATTATGGAAACGACAAAGTGGTGCTAGGCAAGTGCAAAGTTTAGGCCATTTTTGGCTCTGGTTATCTGATTTAAGATGCACGTCGTCATCTGCTACATTCTGTGCAGAATACATTATTTCTGTGCATAGCTTAAAACCTCCACTGCTGAAGTAACTAAATCCATTTACTGTCATTTTCCACTACTTTATTATATGAAGGTATTATTTACCAGATGTTATGGAGGTCACCCCTTTTCCAGTGCTATGGAAATATTTTTAGTTTGTAAGATTCAAAGCATCAACAGCAAATGAATACATTAAAGGGTCGTAGGAGTCAGTTACACTTTAGGTAAAATAATAGGGGGATAATTTCAAGAGAGACCTGAGAGGTTTGCCCACAAAAGCAGGTGTCTGAAAAGAATTTAGAAGAAGCAATGCCAAGCCAAAAAGTTGTTTGCTGGCTTTTAGGGTAGTAATTTCATTCAGCAGTAGTGGCAATTGAAGGCCTATCTATGTGGGAGTGACACACCTCTTAAACTATGAGTTTGCTTAAGAAGCCCTAACTTCTTGTTGCCTTTTCCTCTTCCTAGAGAATGTTTTTCTTGACAAGCCATCTTCAAAATTTGCCCAAGAGGATGGAGAACAGACATCAATCATCCCTGTCCACCAGGTTATTGACAAGGTCAAGGGATACTGCAATCCTCACTCCGACAACTTCTATAAAAGTATCATCATGTCTGAAACATTTAGTCACAGCACAAAGTTCTAACTGGGCTTCTGAATTTTTTGAACCAAATGAAGACAAAAGTCTGCCTGGAATTGAGAATACCAGATGTCACAGAATGCGACCTGTTTAGTTATTTTTTCCCAGTTTATAACGTTCTCCTGTTAACAGCTTCCACTCAAGGACCAATTTCTCTACCTTTTTACTGTTGTGGAAAAAGACAATTTTCCACCATGGTATTGAGCTGTTTTTAAATGTGTGCCAGCCAACGTATGCCTGGACAGCTAATTGTAATCCTGTGTAAGTATTTTTTAAGACTGAAGAGCCACAAGCCTAACTCTAAATTATATAGTCCAAACAGAAGCAAGTCTTGACTCCTGGAGAAAATAGCAGACATGTCACGCAATACAGGCAAGCTCTTATTGAACAGTTTACTGATGGACTTTTTTCTTTTGAAGAATATGGATTTCCCCTACGACACTTGTTACATTCTTGCTTCTTGACTGTCTAGTGCTGTCTGTTCTTTATTTGTAAGTGAATAAAACCCTAACACCAGTGTTAAAGGGTTATTTTAAACCATTTTTTACTAAATAGACCTAATCATGCAAATCTTGCTTACCAAAACAGTATGTGCTGTAAATTCAGCCTATTTTGTATCCACGTACATAGAAACACACTTATTACATAGATGTGCTGGCTGAGAAGGGCGTGCAGGGTGCTAGTAACTCTTGCAAATTTTAAGCCCATTGGTATGTATGGAAACAGGTATTTGTACATATCATTTGCATCTGTGCAGAACAAGTACACAGGTAAATCCAAAGTTTACACAAAGTCATGTTTCAACATTCATTGATTGGTATGTATGAAATGCGACATCTCCCACCGCAATTCTATGTTTAATGCTCTTTTTCACTAAACAAAACAGAAGGCATTCAACTATATATAGATATATAAATATACACCTAGATCTCTCTCCGCACATATTTTTATAATAATGCACACAGTGAATATGACAGAGGAAACCACAATGTGTACCACAGACAATCTAAGAGCAATGAACGGTGCTAAAACTTAAGTTTAAGTATTTAAATACAAGATGAATACTTTGTAAGCCCATGGGTTCATTTGTCAGTCTCTGTACTTCAGATATACTGTATGTACAGACACCTCCATCGGATGGCATTGCAACATTAGAATAACCTGGAATACAATAACCAGTAATAAATAAATAACATCTTTCTGGGCACATAACATTATCAGTATCAGTATCCCCCTCCCCACCCCTGGCTGATTGACTTGATTGAGTTTTTGGGGGGCACAGAGTTTAAACAGTGCTCAGGCAACATTAGGGAATTTCGCATTGCTATTCTGTGTGCATAATGACACTGAGTTGTGTGTGTGTGCGGAGAAGAGACAAGAGCATAAAATGCTTACTTGTTTTTGTTCATAGAGATTAAAATCTATATAAATGTGTGACACATTAGCACATGGCCATGACTGCCAAAAGTGCATCTTTCCTCACGAAGCACGTCTCACCCCATGACAGGTTTTGTAAAAATTGTAGCTACATGTGTCACTGAAATGATGGGCTGAAATATCAAAGGTATTTTCCAACAATGTTTTCAGAGGAGAATGTCTCCTAATGGAAATTTTCATTTTTAAAAAGGCCTTTTTTTCCACCAAAATATTTTTAGCCAAATGTTTAATTAATTGTATTCAGAAGGTGACCAGAAAGTTGTGCTGTGAGGTTTTTCAGTTGCCAAGCAGGTGGATGTACAGTGATTAGGGATGTGGATTTGTGCCTTTCTCTGCTCTTTGCATGCATTTTTGCACGCAGAGATCATTTAATGCTGTGATCGCGCAAATGGCGTATTTTCCCTGGCTGCAAACACCTGGCGGGAGGAGGATGTCCTGATGGTATTCCGTCCAGAAACACTGCTGTCGCTACACGGACCTTAACGGAACCTCAGTCTCGTAACTGCAAATACTTATGTGGTGGTATGAATGCAAGTCAACCTGATTCACTTAAAATGTAATTATTAATGAGTGTTGTCAGATATCTTTAATAAGGGAAATCATTTAGGGAGAAACTATGTACAACCATTTACTGAACTTATATTTTATCAACCCACTTGCTTAACTACTGTAGATAATAGTGTTCACATAGCAGCTTACTGTGAGATTTCTCCCTGATTAAGGTGTTTAGAAGCGAAGAGAATGAAAACCAAACATTCCTGAAAAAATGAGGAATCAATAAAACATAATAGATTAGTAAAATATAAATAAAAAGCAAACACAGTATCCTGACTGAAGCTGAGCTGTAACCTAACTATCAGCTTAATGTACAGCTACCTATATTTTTGCTGATTTAAGACTTTTTTCTCTTTTTTTACTACCATGTAGTAATCTTAAACTGTCTGTGTCAGTTAGATGCTCTTGAATGCTCTCAGTTCTACAAGGTAAAGCTTCTACTTTGTAGTTGACATGCTGTAACCTCCCTTGTATATATTTATTTATTTGTGAGGTTAAATATGTCAAATATATTTAGCTCTATGATGACTGTTCTTGTTACTTTAAAACTAAGCTTCTGCTTCACCATAGAAGAAGAGGGAAAGAATAATTTCTTATATATGTTTTTTTCCAAACACCTTGTGAAACAATTTACTGTAGTTCTATCTTTTAGAAGTATGAGGAAACATGTCAGTGTAATTTGTAATACCAGTCAGTGGAATATAGTGTAACAGGTTTGAAGATGGACTAAAGTGGAAACAAACATTTTCAAGTAAACATTCTTGATGTTAGTGTTCCAAATAATTAAAGTCTTTTAATAGTGAATGGTTGATTTTTTTTCTTTTTTAGTGTTTAATGGCAAAAATTGCTCAGTGGAATTCCGGAAAATAATCTTGTGTTTATTAAGTATGTGAGACAGGTACATGCCTAGCCAAAATGTTGCAAATAAATGTGCAAGATTAATGCCATCTCATCAGAGGAACGCGTTTTGCAGAATATGCTTTTCTCTTATGTGTTTTACTCAATGCCACATCCAGTGAATGATCTGGAAGTTATGTAAGTTCGTTTATTTATGGTAGCAGTCATCGTCATAGAAATGAAAGGAAAATCAAGGCAACAGACAATATGCTGGGATGATCTTTTAGAAGTAATACAAATGAAAAATCTAACACTCAGGAGTTATTTCTATTCATATATTTCTTTCTAGATGAATGTAGTCCCTCATTATCAATAACTTGATTTAACTTGTAATCATACTTTGACTGATCACTGTTGAAATATTTTAGTCAGCTAATCATTTAATACACTAATATATAAACATTAAATGTAACACACTAATAGCCTACCTTTAAATGTTTACCTTTAAAGAACACAGAAGCCTGCTGAAATGTGTCAGATCTGCTCCCCTGTATTTAAGTCATCATAGAAAATGCACAGAATATGAAGATTTAGTGGCAATATTTTTAGAAAGCAATCAAAAACTACCCCATGTGCTAAGTGGCATTTATTAGTGAGGATGCTGGGTATGCCTGTGGACGGCCTGTCCATGCGTGTCTGTGGACAGCGAACACTACCCTTGAGCTTTATGCCTTGAACGGTGTGGGAGGACCCTCTGAGGGAAGGAGCCCAGGGTTTTTTTCCAAGTAGGATCTTGGCAGATGCCAAACTTGTAAGGAGTGATTTGCAGCATTTGGGGGTGGATTTATTTTTCTCCTCGTTTCATCACTTTTTAAATATCAAGAACAATTTTATTTTAATCCTCTACTGTTAACAGCTTCCTACTGTAACCCATTGAGTTACATAAAATGCCACTTCATTTTAGTACTTTTGAAAGGCTGATCTATAATCAGACACATCTATGTAACCACAGGGACAACTATCAAGTTACAGGGCAGCAGTGTGTCATTCATAGAGCCATTATAAAAAGTTGTTATGCATTTACTATATATAAAGATGTAAAACCATATATGGGTCAGCAAATTAGGCAAAGGGCTTAGAAGTTAATGTCAGGGAAACCAGTCACGCAAACTAGTCTGTGGAGCAGCTGTTTCATGCCCAGTGCTTCAGCTGCTGCTATGCTTAGGAGGCTTTCCCTTCACCCTCCACTTAGCCAGTCTTTGGCTACTCAGTCCGTTTAATTTTCAGAGCTCCTGGCCCCATTGTGGCACTTCCATCATTTGGGAACAATCATTTGCTGCAATGCTAGGGAAAGGGAGAGGGGAAAAAGAAAGAAAACGAAACTGAAAGGGAAAGAAGGGGAAAGGGAAGGGTAGTTGCTAAGGCCTGCTCCGCATCTTCTTCACTTTCCACGTGATTTCTTGCCCCTTCCCCAGGATAGGTTACCCTGACCGGTGATGGAGGCAGGCCATTGGAGTAGGTGGAACACACCACCATGGCTATTTGTGCACATGTCAGTTAAAACTCATATTTTTGACCCTCCAGCTTTAAGCTGAAGATCTGCCATGCTTCTTCAAGGCACCAACTCCAGTATTTCCATGCTTGGAGTCTAACCTAGCAATAATATCTCTGTAGTTCAGGAATAACATAATGCCCCTCATGATGAGAAATCAGTCTGATAAGCTTGAAGCACCACACCAGAAATAGCTAAATAAATCTCATGGAAACCTTTTCTGGAAAGATAGCCCTTCCTCAGATACATCTGCTCGTTCAAAGCCAATGCTGCTATTGGTCTTTGATTAAAGCCCAGATTTAGTACTCATGAGGAGTGCACATTGTGGTGATGTCCATATGGATTGTATAACCACAGCCATCTGACAGCAATTTGAATGACACGGTTTTCTCGAGGTGTGTGGAATGACCTACCCTACAAAATAAATGCCAGCTTGAATCTTTAGCACGTACCAGATGATAGCCTAAACTGGGCACTTTGTATCCAGACTATTCTAGTAAGAGTTCTCAAAAAACATAGTTTTAGGTAGAAAAGAGTTCTCAAAAATCCTGACTGTTCCATATGTGAAGTGTAGGAGAAAGAGCAAATGATGATAACTCTGGTCTGATGTTTCCTTCTGCTGCCAGGTTTTTCCCATCCTGGAAGCCCACCAAAGCAAGGGAA